GGTACCAAAACAAACTCCGCTATATCAGGGCCGGTTAAGGAGTCAGCCAATGCAAGGAAGCCCAGGTAATTTGACAGGCTGTGTAAGTTATGGGCTAATGCAAGGGTTAATTAGCTGCTGTGGTCACGTATGTTGATGGTAAATCGGTCTGCGTAGTTGTCTGGGAGGTAAGGCGAATGGAGCATCAGCGATTGGGTAAAGCCGAATGTCTTGATATGCGCGGATTATTGAGTGGATCGCCTTATTATTGAGCAGCACACGAATAACTCCGAATTTCGGAGTAATCAAGCTTTCCATATGGTATCTGTTGTGGACCACAGTTTTCTTAATGCCTTCCTAATACTGTTACTCCGAATCTGGATATCCGCCTAATGGCCTGATGCAGTAAGCCAAACGAGAAAGCCAGTGAACGTGCGAATCAGCTGATCTATTGAACACCGACGCGTACAGGTGTATCACGTGCAACCGACAACGGGCTGTTTATAAAGCTCACGTGGAAAGTTTCAGGAGAGCTGTCAAGGGCAAGTGAAGAACAACAAATTAAGCCGTCTCAACGAATGCGGTTACTCAATTGGTAGTTGTGAAGTCCCGTTACATTTAGAGCTGGTTCTGCTATTGGTATCGGGCATGCTTCAAGCAGAAAAGGGCTTTTTTATTGCGAGGACCTAAGTCAGTCTTTCCCATCTATGTTAGCTGATAGTTTGGGAAGGATCACTGGGGAAGAAAGATAGGTCAGAAAGTAAACAGGCCTTTATATATCTGATTGTCACGAATTCAGGAAGCTTCTCGCCTTATTTTCTCTGAAGAAAGCTCTAACCAGCTCTTGATGGTTACAGCAGTCTGTTTAACGACGTATGTAAGGCAGCTGACATCCGGTGCCTAAGAGCGACGTTACCAGTTTACGATGGTAATACTCCAGTTAATTGCGGACTAGTTGCAACTAATTATGTGGGCAGCAGCTCAAATGTGTCTTTTAGGCTACAAGACATGAGCGTTAAGAAGCAGAATAGAAAAACAATCAGTGAGCTGCGTAATTATAGGAATGATTGTATGGGATTGAAACTGGCAAGTTTAGGCGTCGATAAAGCCTAATGGACAAAGGAAGGTCGTCGGCCTATGTGAACGCAGCCATTTGAAGCACCCCCGCAAACAAATATTTATCTACCATTAAAACGGGTAAAATCCCAAGATAGCCGGAATCTATAAAAAGTTTCTACAACACTTGACCCTGATGCATCGGCGCAGGAGGGCGTGGCAAAATAACACGTGCCGAGTATCAAATAGAAATACACACTTGCGCTCGTATTAAACAAAATCCAACCAGGTGCTCTTAGGTGAGATGGAACACAGATGCAATACAAAAGTAGTACTGCCGGGGAGGATGAGTTGGTGGAGCGAACAGCGCGCCGGCCTACCATCTCAAGGATCCGGAGTTGGTCGACCTGCCTGTTAACCGTGCAGTCACTTTAATGGGAGTAAAGTTAACATGAAACTGACAGCAAACACCGACAAGCGACACAATCTCTGCATCATCAACCCGGGGGACAAGGAAAAGTTGGGCGGCAGCGGGAACAGAAGGAGCGAGCGGTAGGGCTGAAAGACAACGCAAATCATTTTGTTCACTAGTATTCATAGAATTAGAAAAAATAACCACTTACTGTCAATGATTCAGACGATGAATCAGCATGGGCAATCCTAGGCCGACTGTACACACCTTACACGTGGGTGATATACTATCGGTAGGCCGAGTTACGAGAAAAATCCTGGAACCACACGACGCAATATTTGAAGGTTTTGGCGGAATCTTTCTGCTTGTAATACGATGAAAATAACATCTACTATTCGGATTACCCAGGCGGGCTTTCGGCAGCGAATGTCTATAAGCTAAATACACGGGCGGTATATTGTACACACGTGCTTTTCGACAGCTCTACGTATATGGAAGTAACCCAACGTGACATTTTGGCCGAACGTAGCCCTGTCTACCTCTACTTGTGCTACCAATTTGTGCGGAGCAAAATTCCTTACTGAATGCTGCCGATCCATCTTCCCCTGAACAACGTGAACAGTTTTTGCGCAGGAGAAAACTGCTCGCTTTCCTCAAAGGCTTTAACGGCCAGACGCCTTTTCCCATACACACGGTCATCCGGAAGTTTTAGAGATTATACCACCGAACCAAAAACTGATTGCTTAAAAAGGCTCACACGAGTAGATTTGTTGCGTGGGTTCTATCGACATTAACGACTCCTGGGGAAGATCTGAAACCTTGCTATCTCCTGCAATCTGGCGAAGCATATGTGAATTTAGTACCCTTCATAAGACTGCAACACAAGCATCCATCCAGACACGCAGTTATTCGCCATGACCGAAGGTGTGTCATTTGGTACAAGGACACCAAGTCATCCATCACTTATCCAACAGAGCAAGTCAACCATTTTGGCGGTAAGTGCAGGTGCCATAAGTGATAACGGCCTTACCGAATGCATACAACATGAGTTACTGCATCTCATGACGGCGCTGGATTCTTCGGCATGGCCTTGCAGGTGCTGATCCATCCGGTTAACCGTCGGTTAAAAGGCAGTCGGTCTCACAAACACTCAGTCACTTTGTGATAACAAACAGGATGGTGGGTGGTACGTGATAGATGGATCCCGTGCCCACTTGGACAAACCTGACCTTCTAGTTGGTGCCTCGAGCACTGCTTGGCACTAGGAAATGCGTTCATTCTGATATGCTTTTTGGTTGATTTTTGGGATTGCCTGGTGCCTTTGCAGCGCGGCTACTCATAACACAAAGCAGCCATTTGCACAGTTTGGGCCGCTTAACGCGCGAACGCGACGTTCTCAACAACATCTCTTAAGTAAACATTGCGCGTTGCTGTGCATTGTTATCAACTTTAAAACCGAGTGCGTGGGATTCTACAACAACGATCAGGCAGATCAGGAAGAAACCCTCATGCCATTCTCCGTTTTCGTGTATAACTTACCTCAAGCCATAGACAAAGAACGCACCACAGCTGTCGTATTTTTGGGCTCCTCAGTAGCATTCGATCGAATCACACACGCTCCTCTGCTCTACAACCCCGATACTCATGACCTTGAAATCGACTCAACAGACAATTATGCATTAATCTCCATTGAAGTTCCATGGGACCTCGTTTTTCTGATCTGCGTCAACGACCCTCCATCCGCGCCTTCAAATACACGTTAACTTCTTGCGGATGACCCGACGCTTGCAATCTCTAAATGAATAAGGACGATGCCAAAATTGATCACTGGTGTCTTTCTCTGAATGACGGAAAATGCGTCCATATTTCATTCGGAGGGGACTCAGGTGGCACATTCGTTGTGCACGGTGGGGATGAATCACAACACTCCAAGGAACTAGACACCAAAACGGATTTAGGTGCCTGGCTATCGTCCAAAATACACTTCTCACCCTATCATGAAGGCCGGTTTAAAAGTCGCTTGTTGTTCTAGAGCTGATTCGGCGCAACTTCTCCCGTATTATTGGCATGAACTTCCGGATACCGTACAACTAATGGCTTGCAAATAAATCGTCTGCCAAGGACAAAAGGAGGATGTCCAGACACTTGCTGGTTGCTGATTCTATGACGCTTCTCGAGCTAACAGATTCATTGCCTTCGCCCTGAGGGGACCTAATACTTACGCACTGTTGGAAACGGCCTTGGCTTACATGTTTTGTTCCTCGTTGTCCTGTAGTGGTCTGGCTTCCCAATAAATTAGTTTACCAGGAGTGTGTGGCAAAGAAATATAAATAATTACGCTAGGTTGGGTATGCAAAAATAAAGAGATCAGCTGGAACAGAATCACTAACAATCGTTCTCTTTAAAATAGTTCGTCGTTGGCCCAGATCAGCGAATAAAGAATATTCCAATTATGTTGGTCCAGAGGTCTTCTTCTAAACGATTCCCACATATAATAGATTCCGAAGGTGTCTGAAATGTTTTGGTACCAGGGTTAGTACATGAGACT